CTTTATTGTTGTTCACTTTATCATATTATTATATTTGTTAGAAGGTTTGAGTTTATCGATCTTTTCAAGTTGAACAAGTAGCTTTCTCGTTAAAAATGGTAAGATCACGTGAAAATGCAAAAATGCTAAAATTGCGTGTTAACCCTAACCTTACCGTGTCGAATAAGATTCAGAGAGATGCACGTGACCAATGATAGTTAATATTTAATATAATTATATTTTAAATTGTTGGTTGAAAATATAAAAATTCTGGTTTAAACTCCATATAGAGCGAAATTTGCTTAAATTAAAATTCGTAAATGATGATTGGTTAATAACTCATCCAATCGAATTTTTAGTGTGGAGCTGATGTGTCACGAAATATCACGTGTCTGCGATTACGCATATTCATACCCCAAAATTTCTGTACCCCAAAATATTCATCGCGGATATATAAGGGTTCTACTTTTTATTTCGTTTATTTTTTTTTCTCTTCTGCAACTTCCCGACAAATATATGCACATAAAAACTTTAAAATCGTTTTTTAATAGTTCTATTATATGACATTTTCCTTTAACAAAATTTTTTTCTTTTCTCTTACCCCTCTACTCCTCTACTACCCTTTTTCCTTATATCTTTTTAGTCGGTTATCCGTCCGTCAGTCCGTCCGTCCGCGTTTATTTTCAATTTTCGGTTTAGGTATTAGATGGGGCCCCGCAATTTTTTTGTAGGTTTTCAGTAAGGATATCCTTTTCTCTTACACCTCTACCCTTCTGCTACCCTTCTTCCTTATTTTAACTATTTTAGTTATATCTTTTTAGTCGGTTGTCCGTCTATCAGTCTGTGTTTCTTTTCAATTTTCGGTTTAGGTATTAGATGGGACCCCACAATTTTTTTGTAGGTTTTCGGTAAGGATATCTTTCTTCCCTTTTATTTAGTTTGCGTGTGCATATATTTGTTTTAATAAGGTCAGGTAAACAAATAAAAAATTACTAGTTTTCGTAATTTTCGTTTTTTTTGATATATGTAAATTGTATATGTATTTATATTAATAAAGCGTTATGATAAAGTATTGTATTATAATAAAAACGAACAAAACCAGTTCATTTTATTTGAAAAATAATCTTTTTATATTTTATTTTGTGTTATCAAAGTTTGTAAAACGTGTAATCTCGCGATCAGAGTAGAAATTACATATGATTTTTTTTTTGATTATTTTCGTTCTTTGAGCAAGTCTAGATCAAGAAAAATAAATGTGATTTTTAACAATAAAGTCGTTGACAATGTAATCAAAATTCGGCTTGAAAAATAAAAAAATTTATATAAAACAAAATTTTTGCTTAACAATTTTCGATCAGTTATTAAGTCGAGTAAATCGTATCTTAGCCTGATCAATGTTTGCTGCACCTCGATGATGGTGATGAAGATTCTTTAAAGTCACAAATGGTGTCTAGATCAAAAGACACATTTATTACAACTTTGTTTATTATTATAATACATATATTTATGATAGTTAATTCAAAAATATATATATTATAGTCAAAATACATTGTTGAGCGAAAGTAAACGGGATTTATGTCTTAAAATAGAATTTCTATGGGCATTAGATAATAAAAATAATTTTGTTTGAACATTTACTTCAAAAGATAAATCAGAATCATTTAAAGGATTCTCAGTTAAAAATATAGTGGATTCTCTTATTGAAGTAGGATTTCCTTGAAAATCTTCTTCATCGTTAACTTCGTCAAAAATGATTCCATGTTGATAATGTGTTTCTTTTTCAGGAAAGTACTAATCATTATCAACGAAATTATTTTAAGAAAAAAATTCAGTTTGCTTCCTAAATGATGAAATCTAGTTTCGACGATATGAGAGAAATCTTCACGTATTTTCTTTTTCTTCGAAACGTTCCATAATAGGAGACATCACTTCGATAACAGGCATATGAGGAGAATTATATAAAATCTGATATTCCTCATGTGAGGGAGGACTATCATTATTATCTTCAGGAACATCATCCAAAGCGAGAGAAGATATAGGACTATTATCAGCGATAACCGAAGAATCAACGTTAGAAGTGGTGGAAGAATGATTAATTATTTTTGGAGTAGATAATTCTCTAAATTTTAATTTTTCATCAAATATTCTAACATCACCACCGTGTTGAATATTATCCAAAGAACCGACACGAAATTTTATATTTGTAAGGCTTAAAATATAATTTTTATCACCACCTCTTGGAATATGATTAATATCAAAGGAACTTACACGCGAATGTAATTTCTTAAAATTCGGTTTACTGGAGAGAAATTTAACATTACCACCTTATAGTACATGATTAAATTTAATCAGTGATTGAATTGGACAAGAAAAAACTGATGACAATTGGAAGGAAATCAGAATCTTTTGTCATGTTACGTAAGATACTCTTTTCCCTTTGACGGGTTCTACCTTCTCCTACGGTCGCCACAAGTGCTTTCAACTCTGTTCATTCTCGTCAAACAAATAAGTTTACGAGCTTAATGCGACACAGGTGGAAGAGAGACTTGCTGTCTTAAGAGAGGTTCTTTTCACTTTACTTTGAAATTATTGTACTTAACCATATATCAAAAAATTCTCTTCTGACTTACAGATTTAGTCCCTCTTATGAAGGGTCACAAGAATGGACCAAGCTTATTAAATCTGGGAAAATCTGGGAGAACTACTTTCGTCCATTTGAATGGTACGCACAAAATTATGGTATGAGCTACGAATTTTTTATGACTTGCAATTTTTCGCCTTACAAGTTGATTTACATTTCTTCTCGACACAACATATGGCGATTTTTTGAAAGAAATCGATGCCCTGAAAGCCTCTGCAAAAAAACCAGCTATAGATCTTTTACGAAGTATGACCGTGAGTTTTTCACAGCAAAGTTGTGCCATAAAAGGGAATATGTTAGGATTGTACGACACACAAAAAGTTTGGAATTCATTCAGAAAGAACTATAACTTGGATAATTTCTGAAAGATTCGGAAACACCGTTACCTACACCGAGTTCACTTTCCGATGAACCAGAAAATGAAGTCATTGAAATCCGGAACCATTTACTTGCGACTCACTTTCTTTATAGTACTTTGTATGATTTGACGCACGAAATTGACCTTCGTCATATAAAGAGACTACACCACTGGAAAAGGTGATAAATTCATGATAACGAAGATGAGCTTATTCAATATGCAGGAGATTTTCGGAAGATAGAAGTAGAGTCATGTGGCTCTATCTATACTATTTATCCGGTGAGTTATTATTCCTTTGTGATTCTTTTTTTCAACATTTGATTATGACTTACTTAGTATTTTCTGTAGCTCCAATGGAAGTTCCTGCATTGATGGAAAGGTTTATAAAGTTTCGTGATGAGAGTAACAAAAACAGCGGTCTTCATCCAATTATAATTGTATGTCATATACTTTCAACCTTCCTTCATATTCACCCATTTATCGATGGTAATGGACGTGTTGGTCGTTCGATTATGGCATCTATCTCATTCGCACTGGTTATCCACCTATTGTTTTTCAGCAAGTCCGCGAGAAGAATATGGAGCTACATTATTTCTGGCACAAGCGGAAAAAGATTCAACAGGACTTATATGCTTTATAATTATGAAAATTTTTTTTAGATTAATAAAACGAGTTAACTACAAAAAGTCGCGATAAAGTCATGTTAAATATCATCAAAATCCACTCTCTAAATGCACACACTATTATATTTTCTCTCTAAATTCACACTCTCATTCAGTTCAAGTATTAAAATATTCATATAAAAATTCCACACCTCTTTAATGCACATGTAACTGGATATTTCTTTATTGAGAAATAATTCTTATTACAAATACTGCCTTTTCCGAATCTGATCATTTCTTTCCTAAATTACGGACATTTACTATTTGAACATATAAACTTATATATGTCCAATTGGACATTGCAGAGAAGCTATAATTCAGGAAAGGAATGATCATGATCATGCTATTTAATCAATTCAAGAAAACTGGATAAGTTCAACAACTTTAATTCAATTTTATAATAATTTATAATCAAAAATTACATGAAGAAGTTTAATATGAATAACAGAAACTTTTTTATATTATATCTTTCAATACTACATTATTTTAAACTTATATAAATATTATTTTTATTATTTCCTACAATAAATAATACATGTGTTAAAAAAATTAACATAATTCAAGAATATCCTAACAATCTCATGATGGTGGTTAGCAGTGATGTTATTTTTATTATAATAATAAATAACATTAGATATGTTAAAAATTGCATTGAATAATTTATTTACCATTACAGTTTCTTGTAAAATTATATTATTTTTTGTTGTTCCCAACTTAAAAAAAAAAAAATGAACAGAACGCATGATTACTTGATTTGTATTAGTAAATTATGAGAACCTATTTGTCGCACACGCAAATACTTGATTTGATATAAAATTTTTTTTTTTTTTCAAGACTACTCTCTTCAATCTTCTTCGATTAAAGGTCAAAATGTCAACAATTTCTGACAAGATTAAAGAAAGTTGGTAGTCATTTTCCATCATCTTATTTATATTTTATTACAAATCTAATGTTTTCATACCATTTTAATAGTTGAAGCCGAAATGGCTCGTACGCAAAAGAATAAGGCAACATCGTACCATTTAGGTACATTGAAGGCTAAATTAGCGAAATTACGTAAAGAACTTATGACACCTCAAGGGGGAAGTGGAGGAGGCGGTGGTGGTACGTTATTATCCACATCAATCAGAGTGAGAGAAAATAATTTAAATTTTTTTTTTTTATCAAAATAAATTTTTACCCGTTATAAGCATTAACAAAAAAAAAAAATTTTTTTTTTTTTCTACTTGGATTAACAGTTGGATTTGATGTAGCAAAGACGGGAGTCGCAAGAGTAGGATTTGTTGGGTTTCCATCGGTAGGAAAGTCTACACTAATGTCCAAATTAACTGGAACATTTTCAGCAGTAGCAGCTTATGAATTTACAACTTTAACAACAGTACCAGGAGTATTACAATATAAAGGAGCGAAAATTCAGATATTAGATTTACCTGGTATAGTAGAAGGAGCTAAAGATGGTCGTGGTAGAGGTCGTCAAGTCATTGCAGTTGCACGAACGTGTTCTATTATATTTTTGGTGCTGGATGTATTGAAACCGCTTACGCATAAAAAGATCATTGAAACAGAATTAGAGGGGTACGGAATAAGATTGAATAAACAGCCGCCAAATATATATTTTAAGAAAAAAGAAAAAGGTGGTATAAATATGACCAATACTGTACCTTTATCTAATTTGGATTTGGATCAAGTTAAGGCTGTACTTAGTGAATATAAAATTCATAATGCTGATGTTAATTTTAAGTGTGATGCTACCGTTGATGATTTAATTGATGTTATAGAAGGAAGAATTTATATTCCTGCCATTTATGTTCTCAATAAGGTAAGTTATAACAAACACGCTGGATGAGGAAAGTTAATATTAGGAGAATGTAAAAAAAAAAAAAAAAGAATAAAAAAAAAAAATTCGTTTGTTATCGTAGATCGATCAGATTAGTATCGAAGAATTAGACTTGATTTATAAGATTCCGCATGCAGTTCCTATTTCAGCTCATCATGAATGGAATTTTGACGAATTATTAGATAAAATGTGGGAATATCTTAATTTAATTAGAATGTAAGTAAAAGAATATGTTGTTCTTTGAATTTTAAATCACTTATTATGTTAACGCCTGTACATTTATTGCTTAGTTACACGAAACCAAAGGGACAATTGCCGGATTATAGCGCACCAGTTGTACTAAGACAAAACCTTCGTTCAGTTGAAGAATTTTGTAATAGTATTCATAAAGGAATCGTTAAACAATTTAAATAGTAAGTGATTTATTTATAGTAGATATAATTTTGAACATTTTTTAAAATATTAATATTTTATTCTTTTTGTTAAAGTGCATTGGTTTGGGGAAGTTCAGCTAAGCATCAACCACAAAAAGTTGGTTTAACTCACATACTTAATGATGAGGACGTAGTACAATTAGTTAAACAATAAAAAAGTAGAAAGTTTATAGGCAAAGAAAAAAGATATTAAGTCAAAGAATATAGAGATTATAATCTTGTTGTTCTTCATCAATTATTATTCTTTTCTTTACCCTTATTATTATTATTATTATTCAATTTCTTTAATACAGAAAATTGTTGTTCAAAAGTTTCTTGTATTCTTTTGACCTAAATAAATACAAAAAGTGTTAATTTTTATTCATAATAGTAAAATGAATTGTTTTATCAATGTTACCTTTTGTTCACCAATTCCGGGACAAATTGACATATCTTCTGGTGCAGCTTTCATAATACCTTTTAAAGACTATACGTATTTAAACAGAAAGATTGAATATATGTGGATATAGCAGAGTTATATATTGAATATTACATACCCCAAATGTGGATGCAAGGGTAACTACATCTATTTTATTAACAGATCTAATATGGGTCATACAATGTATTAACTAATTTTAATAAAAAAAAAAAAAAAGCTCTTTAATATTAATAAAATCTAGTTGATTGAGGAATAGGAATACTAAATTCACCTTTGATAAATAATTGTTTTCAATTTTTTCCATAATCAAATCAGGTGATTTATGTTCAAATGCCTTATAAGTTTCTAAATACCTACCAGCTTCCTCTGAACTTTTAAACAAGAGATTTTTTTTTGATTGAGATAAATGAAGAAATTTTTTTATTTTAAAAAAAAATAAGGTTACCTCCACGATAATATCATTGTAAAATTATTTATAACACATATTTTCGTGAGTTCTCGTATAGATTCTTTATGACTATCCTAAATTTATGTTAAAGCGAAAGAGTGAGTGAAGTCTTAAAAAAAAAAAAAAAAATTTATCAAGAAATAAATTATTTAGCATTTACAGTGTCAACGAGAACTAGTAAAATTCTTAGTACATAAGAATTTACCAATTTATCTATTCTATTATAAATATATTCAGGATGAAGTCGGTGATATCTAAGACTAAAGAATAAACGCGTAATTAATTTTTTTAAAAAAATCAATCATAAAAGCTACGTGATAATACTATTTAAATACCTTAAGAATAAAGCACAAGTTGTTTGACCCACTACATAATCAGGAACAATATCACCAAATTCCCAAGGCACATTTCGTATAAATTGTAATATAGGATTTCCTCTCTACAAAAAAAAAATAAACACGTGTAAAATTCATAATGCTCCAAGAAAATCTTCCTATTCTTGGACAATACCTGGCATCCATTAACAATAATCGAATTAGTAGTATATCCAGCACGTTTATTAATCGTTACGGAAGATTTAGTCGTATTAATAAATAATCCCTTATCTAAAACTTCCCTTGAACATTTAAGTATATGCTCAAATCTAATCGGACCTAACAACTGCCCTCCAAACCACCTTGTAACAACTACTACAACATTCTTTGCATCTATTGTTTTCAATAACGTCAATACACGATTTCCTGCATAAGTTTCTCCATCATCGTGATATTCTTCTATGAAAGGTCCGTCGGCTGACTGTATACGATAAGCTAATACATTATGTGTCGCTCCCTTTTCAGTTGATTGTATTTTCCTCCAAAATGCTTCAGCTTCTTCCTTGGTTGTAACTTTTTTTGCATGTGCTACGAATTTACTTTTCCGATCTATTATACTAGAACTATGAAATGATGTTGGTAACGCGTTGTCTTCGTTTGAAGTTGATTCAATTCCGGTTTCTTCTCGTACCGAGGTTGTTCCAGTAGATTCCCTCACGTCAAGTTGCATTTCTTCATGCATAATTATGTGTTGTAATTGAAAAAATTATTTGGGAAAAAATAAATTTGATACCGTCTATTGTTACATATACATTAATCATTAAAGCCTTAACCTTTTTTTTAAAGTTATTTTTTTATATTTTGTAATCAAATATAAAAAGTTTTTATTATCTTATAATAAAATAAATATTTATTTTTATAATAAATTTCTGCAGCCATTTTCTTTTCAAATGTTTTAGATGATAGTTGATTAACCAATAAGAAATTTAAGGCACATTCACTCTAGATTTGATTTGATTGGTTTTATTCAATTAACTAAACTCAAACTGTTCATATTTTGGGTCTGGTTTATTAGTTATTATTCTTTTTTATGATAACGTGATTGAGACAAATCAGAATGATAATTCTTCCTGAAAATTCAATTCAACTGCGGTGAATTTTTCACGTGATAATGTGATCGGTACTTACATCGTGATTGATTACCTCTTATGGAAATCAGACACGGTATTTAAATTTTTAACAATTTACGCTGCTAATTCATAAAAAAATGTCAAAACGCAAAGCAAGCTCGGAAAAGAACGAAAAATGAAGTGCAATCGTTAAGATTTTAGAGAAACCCGGCGTGTCAAATTGTCTTCTCGAATTCCTATGTTTTCTAAATATTTCTGTTACAGATAAACAAGCAACACACAGAGATTGGATTGGAACCCTCAACGATATCTGGACAAATCATCCTATCGCACGGATTCAGAAACTGGCAGATAAAAGTATCAAAAATTACAATGTTATGTATTTGCATTTATTGTACGTGATTACGGGATTTAAGAGACGTTGGTACCGCTCCTGGGTTCATCCTATGCTTTGGACTCGGGATAAGATCCTCCACTTTCGGAGAGCGATATCAGCGGAAAGATGGAAACCACAGTGATCCTCTGCTTTCGTCTTGTGGCATAATCCTCTGCTTTGGTACTGCAGTAAAATTGAGTCCCTCATCTGATGATTTTGATCCCGAAAAGCTATTTTCGCTTATATGTTCTTTGAATGGAACCAAACTTAAACTTAAACTTGTCATACGTTTATTTATTCTTTTCTTTCTATTTTAGAATGAAATCAAATCTCAAGCTGTCTTAAAATTCTGGACAGATATCGAAAAAGCAAAGCTCGGAAACAAATTATTTTCTATGCACTTCAATGGATTTACAGAACTGGTTAGTACTTATTTTCTGCGCATCGCACCATTTCTCTGCTTAATAATATAATTTGCTTTAACATTCAGGTTGAACATAGAAATGATTTAATCCCTAAATCCGAATACAATGAACTTCAAAGATATTCAGGTCGAACATAGGGATAACTCATACCCCAAATCTGAAGATAATAATCAAGATGAATTGCATACAGAAGGCTTTAATAATGATGAAGAAAAATACGAAGAGTGAGTAATGGCTTCTTGCACTTTAATATTATAGACTCTCTATTCACATTTATTATTCTTCTATGTGGAGAATATTTCGCACACATTATCGACCTTGATAATGCGACAGAACGAGAGAAACCTCAGTTCTTTACGGTTGAAGAGTGGTCGAAAATTATTTCCGAATCACAACCACCATCAATAAAATTACCTAAATCTGTTGAAGAACAACTCGACTGTTATCTGGGGGAAACGACTATAAAAAAAGTTCGGGAATCATTCGATTCATACAAAAAAGTAACTTTGGAAGAAGATATTTACACTCGTAAAGTCATGGAGCACTTGTAAGTGCCGTTAGTATGAAGAACCGAAATTACCCTTGTTTAATAATACCAAAATGATAGTATTTTTTTGTCTTGAGAACCGACCAGATTATTTTGCGCAACGACCATGTACCGAGTCAACATTCTGTGTACGATTTATTGGACCATAATTGAACCTTTTATCTTTATATTCAAAAATTTGGATATAACTTGGTAAGTATCTTCCTTTTTTGATGGGTTGTTCCAATGATTAATAGCTCTTTCTACTTGATTGTAGGGGTGAAGTTTCAAGCTTGTCCTCAGAAACCCGCCGAAATTTTCGTCTCGAAGAAGGCAAAAGACGTAGGATCGGTTCGAAAGGTGATGGTATTGGATCTTTAGTCAATCTAGATAATAAAGAATTTCTTGTTATCGAGCTGTCTGGAGCACCAACTCGTCTCCCAATGAGACATACAGAGGGAGATAAAGTAAAAATTGAAAGATGCTTGGTTGATGTACTTAACAACCATCTGGACAGATTATAAAACATGCGATTTTCAGCTTGCTAAGAAACTCCGAGTATTCGGTTTTCAAACTGAAGGTTAAATTTTATCCTTTCTGTTGCAATTGTGATTTTGCACTTTGGAATTTAACAATAAATTTGTTCTTTAAGGATATCATTGTTCTATTTCAACAATATATATTGTTAGTCGTGGATTATATTGCAAAAAAACGTTGTTTCAGTTTACATTGCCAACAAGGGAGTTGGATTTATGTTACTTGTATGAGATTATTGGGGTCATGCTTTCTTTCGAGATGAATTATCCAATTCGTTGAGTGTTATACAGAAACTCAAGATTGCAAGAACTCGCAATTTTGTTTCTGATGACCCAATTTGTGGTTACATGTGGTTGCCACCCTCTTGAGCTAGATTGTTGCAAATATTTTACGGCTTGTAAAAATCAAATTTATGTTATAAATCGTAGTAGTTTATTTACTTTCTAATATAATTTACTGATTACAGGTTATTCAGTGTCTTTGTGTTGAAAAGAATATAGCAATTTAGTTTGCCTGATGTGAGCTTTTATTTTGTACAATTCTAATTCTGGTATAAATAGTGCAAGAAATTTTACACAATTGTTTTTTAAAATCGTCCGTATATTGCATTGCACACACGTCACCATCAAAAGCTCGGGCACAAGTGAAAAAATAACTGGCGGCAAATAACGTAATCACCTGATTTTCTCAGAGTCACCCTGTTCATCGATTTGACAACACATACGAAATCCAGAATTTTATATTTTTAATTTTAAATAATTATCCCGTGTTTTTTCACGCGTTTGTTTACACGTTCTTTTTTTGATGTTCTTTTACTTTTCTTTTGTAATTTTTTTTATTAATAAAAAAATTTTTTTTTTATCAAGCGTAAGAAAAAAAAATAATTTTTATTAGACGTAAAAAAAAAAATATAAAAAAAAAAAAAAATTTTTTATTTGATGGTAAATCAATTTTCAAACTAATACTATTGGTTTAATTTGGGTGATACAAGAAAAGCAAAAAACCCAACCGACCGAATTTGAACAGGCCTAATCTTGCCGATCGTTTCCAAAATATATGATCGATTTTATAATTTTATAATTTAATATATGTTAAAAAATAACTATTTTTTATCTTTAAGCAACTTGTAAAACAGATAAGCATTCCTATAAATAATATAAATTTAAAGCATAAAAAATTTTTGTTTTTATTTTAAAAAAAAATTTAGATTAATTCTAATATTTTAAAACTTGAATTTTTGTAAATTCATCTTTTTATTTACTAATTACATTTTATTTTTTAATTTACATAACCTTTCTAATTAAATTAATTTTAACTTAAGTAATAGATGATTTTTGAGATAATTATTAAATTATAGAGTTGTATTTTCAATTATGTTAACATAGATATTCTCAATTACAATTTTAATAATTAGTGAGTCTATAATAATATAATATAATTTTACATAAGCTCTATACTTTTGTTTAATATAATTATATTAGAAATCATATATAGAGGATATAAAAAAATTTGCTAGTTTTAAAAATTTATTACAAAATAACTAACATATAAACATCAAAATTTTTATTTTATTAAATTACAAATCAATATTTCGTTAAATTTCCATTTACAGCAATAATAGCTTGAACCTGATATAGTATAGTCTTGATTAAATTATAGTAATAATTTATAGGTTCTACATACTATTCTTTTTTAACCTACTACTTTAATTACATAATACTTGATGGTTGTGAATCATGTTAATGAATTCTAACTTCAAAATACAACCAAATATTTTCTATAGGGTTAATATCAAGGCTTTGAGCTGATCAGGAAAGCAACTCAACATTAAAAAATTTGATAAAAAAATGTGCAATTTTTGCAGTATGTATAGGTGCATTATCTTCTTAAAAAAAATTTTTTTTTAATTTTTTTGCATAAGATTTAACTGTAAGAATTGTGTAATTAACTAAATTTTACGATATGTATTTTCAATTATGTGACTAACTAAAGAATTAGAGAACTCATACTAATCTAATAGAAATACTTTAAAATATATAATTAAAGTTCTTTTGAACTGTGACTGTAATGCAATCTTCATAAAATTCTTCAGAAAATTCATGTTATACTGCTCAAAACCTAAAGTTTGAAATTATATGTAAGTAGACCATCTAACTATACTATATTTTTAAATCTTTCACAGTTCAAGTTTCATAAGTACAAGCTTAAAGTAACTGTCTTTCTTTATTTCTTTTAGAAATTAATAGATTCAAATGAGAAATGCGTAAGTGAAGACTTTGTCTAACTAATTCATTACAGATAGTTTGTTTAAAAATAATTTTGTTTGTTTTATTTATAATATTTAGATAAATTTAAAAGAGAATTTGACAACAGTTTTTTTATTTCTAATCACTAAACGTTTGAGATATTTTTGTTCACTCTCATTAAGAATTCTTGGTCAATCTATTCGTTTCTTTAGAAGTTTATTTAGCTCATATGACTCTCATATACATTATATAAAAGAACAAGAGTAATAAATAACTGCAATAATCCTATTATTTGAATAATCTAATTTTTTGTAATAATAATTTCACCTTTTTGACTTTTATTAAGCTCTTTCTAAAACACATTATTGCAGCAAAATTTTCATACTATAAAATATAAAAAATTTTTTGTATACCCTATGATTAAATTTATACATCATAATAACATATTGTTTATTTTTATTTTTCGATATAGTCGCAAACTATCAAAAAATAAATTTGTGACTTAATTAAACAGGAAATAACAATACATACTACTTTTATATCACTCTAACTAAAATAGCCAATACTTTTTATACTCTCCTATATATAAACTTATTAAAATCTAAATCATTATTTTCACATAAATTAGCTTATTGAATATGATATTCATCAGCTTTTGATAGATTACAATAAGATTACTTTTATAAAACATTTTATGTTTAATTAATGCTAGATCTATTACATTTTATACAATTAGTATTCCTCTTCTATTAGTTATATTAAATTAACTTATGTATGACATTAAATATTTTTTATATTTTTTTTGAATACTATATTATTCATTAATTTTTATAAATCTTTTTGAATCATTTTTTGTATTATACCATCAAATTATATTTATTACAATATTTACAATAAATAATTAATAAATCAGTTTTCTTATATTTTATTATAAATATTATAAATTTTTAATATTTAATTGATTATTCTTGACTTTTAATATATACTTTTATCTAATGTAGCATGCTCTTAATTAAATTAATATAAGTTTCAGATAGAATTTTTTTTATTCTTCTTGCAATACTTTTTTAAGTTTATATAAATTTTTTGAATACCTAATTATTTTTAAAGTTTCATTTAATTCATATTACAAATATTTAATATAATTAAGATTTGAAGATTAAGAAAGCTAATTTGAAAAAATCTTAATTTTTTTTTGTATAATCCAATTTTTGATATTCTTTGTAATGTAATTATCAAAACTTATATTTTATAAATATATGATATTTATGAATTTGATAATTTTAACAAGAGCTGTACCTACTAATGTATTTCTACCACTTACTATTAAAAAGATTTGTTTTACAAATTAATTTTTATTTATTCAAGAATCAATCTTCATATTCTTTATTAATATTCTTATAATTATAATTTCTTTTATAACTTTTTTTTATGCTTCTTTTTCATTCTTCACTATTCTTTTTTTAAACTATTAATCCAATTTTATTTTTTTAATATCCTTCTTCATTATTCTTTTTCATTATTATTTTCATAATCTTTAATTTCATTTTTCTTTTTTCCTTTTTCTAATTCTTTTTAAATATTTTTTTATTTCCTACTATAATTTTTATTTTGTCTTTTCTATTCATTATTTTCTTTCCATTCTAATTCATTTCAAAAGATATTTCTTTAACTCTTTAATTCTTTCTTTTCTTTTCTTTTAATATATTTTCTTTTTATATTTTATTCTGTTTTTCTTAAAGTTAAGTTTTAGATTTTCTATTTAATTATTTTATTGATATTATCAAATTATATTTTATATATTATTGTAATCATCAATTATTTATTATGTATTATAGTTATCATCAATAATATTTCATGTATTTTAAGTCATAATATATTAAATAAATTATATCTTTTTTCTTATTATATTATTAATATTCCTTTTCTTAAATATTATTTTATTTTATAATTAATCAAATATTAGTATCATATAAATCAAATAATAATTATACCATTTTATATTTATGTATAATTTCAGTTAGTTATCTATTAATTGTTTCTTTTTACTAAATAAATTTCTACTTCTATTATATAAATTTAATATCGATCAATTTGTAGATTTTCCTTTGATTTTTATTCTTTTCTTATTAATTCTAATTTATATTTTTCTAATTCTAATTTCTATTTCTTTTTCCTAATAAATTTAATTTTTAGTTCCTATTTCTTCTTTTAGTATTTTTAAATTGCTAACATTAATCATTAATAATTTTATTATTTTATTATTTCTTTACTAATTTTTCTATCATAATATCATATCTATTTACTAATATTTTCTATTTATAAATTTTATTTCTCTATTAATTTTTATTCTTAACTTTGTTCTATTTTTATTTTCTATTTTTTTTTTGTTTTTTCTCTTTTTTTTCTTTTATTTATAATTTTAAAGATTATTAAATATTCCATTATGTATTGTCATTATATGTCTCTATGATATTATTATTACATTATCTTTATTTTTTAATATTCCTTTTTATTAGTTGAAATCAAAAAAATCAGACATGCGAAAAATCAGCTTAAATTCAGCCTAAATTCAGCAAATTATCAAAAATTCAGTTTAGCCGATTGGTATACACTAGAAATCAGCTAAGAATCAGCTAAAATTTGACCTATCTTATTTATAGCCGATTGATGTCTGATTTACATCCAATTGATATACATCAAAAATAAACTAAAATATTTCAAAATAAAATAAAATTCAG